CATGCCAGAGGGTCCGAATAAGTGTCAGAGTATTTAAGCCCTAATGTATGTGAAATGGCAAGTAAAAACCATAATTACATATCTGGCATCATGCAAGAGGGTCCGAATAAGTGTCTGCGTGTTGAAACCCTAATGCATGACATATGGCAAGTAAGCACCATAATTACATATCTGCCATCATGCAAGAGGGTCCGAATAATTGTCCGAGTGTTTAAACCTTAATGCATGAGAAATGGCAAATAAACACCATAATAACATATGTGCCATCATGCAAGAGGGTCTGAATAAGTGTCCGAGTATTTATACCCTAATGCAAGAGAAATGGCAAATAAACACCACAATTACACATCTGCCATCTTGCAAGAGGGTCCGAATAAGTGTCTGTGTGTTTAAACCCTAATGCATGAGAAATGGCAAGTAAACAACATAATTACATATCTGCCATCATGCAAGAGGGGTCCAAAGAAGTGTCTGAGTGTTTAAACCCTAAAGCATGAGAAATGGCAAGTAAACACCATAATTACATATCTGCCATCATGCAAAAGGGTCCGAATAAGTGTCCGAGTGTTTAAACCCTAATGCATGAGAAATGGAAAATAGACACCACAATTACATATTTGCCATCATGCAAGAGGGTCCGAATAAGTGTCCGAGTGTTTATACCCTAATGCAAGAGAAATGGAAAATAAACACCACAATTACACATCTGCCATCATGCAAGAGGGTCCGAATAAGTGTCTAAGTGTTTAAACCCTAATGCATGAGAAATGGCAAATAAACACCATAATTACATATCTGCTATCATGCAAGACGGTCCGAATAAGTGTCCATGTGTTTAAACCCTATTGCATGACAAATGGCAAATAAAAAGCATAATTACATATCTGGCATCATGCAAGAGGGTCCGAATAGATGTCCGAGTGTTTAAACCCTAATGCATGAGAAATGGCAAATAAACACCATAATTACGTAGCTGCCATCATGCAAGAGGGTCCGAATAAGTGTCCGAGTGTTTAAGTCCTAATGCATGAGAAACGGCAAGTAAACAACATAATTACATATCTGCCATCATGCAAGAGGTCCGAATAAGTGTCTGAGTATTTGAACCCTAATGCATGAGAAATGGCAAATAAACACCATAATTACATATCTGCCATTGTGCAAGAGGGTCCGAATAAGTGTCCGAGTGTTTAAACCCTAATGCATGAGAAATGGCAAGTAAACACCATAATTACATATCTGCCATCATGCGAGAGGATCCGAATAAGTGCCCAAGTGTTTAAATCCTAATGCATGACAAATCGCAAATAAAAACCATAACTACATATCTTCCATCAGGCAAGAGTGTCCAAATAAGTGTCCGAGTGCTTAAGCCCAAATGCATGAGAAATGGCAAGTAAACACCACAATTACATATTTGCCATCATGCAAGAGGGTCTGTATACATGTTCGAGTGTATAAACCCTAATGCATGAGAAATGGAAAATAAACACCATAATTACATATCTGCCATCATGCAAGAGGGTCCGAATAAGTATCCGAGTATTTAAACCCTAATGCATGAGGAATGGAAAGTAAACACCAAAATTACATATTTGCCATCATGCAAGAGGGTCTGTATAAGTGTCTGTGTGTTTAAACCCTAATGCATGAGAAATGGCAAATAAACACCATAATTACATATCTACCATCATGCAAGAGGGTTCGAATAAGTGTCCGAGTGTTTCAGCCCTAATGCATGAGAAATGGCAAGGAAAGAACATAATTACATATCTGCCATCATGCAAGAGGGTCCAAAGAAGTGTCCGAGGGTTTAAACCTAATGCATGTTAAATGACAAGTAAACACCATAACTACATATCTGCCTAATACATGAGAAATGAAAAATAAACACCGTAATTACATATCTGCCATCATGCAAGAGGGTCCGAATAAGTGTCCGGTTGTTTACGCCCTAATGCATGAGAAATGCCAGGTAAAGGCCATAATTACATATCTGCCATCATGCAAGAGGGTCCGAATAGGTGTCTGAGTGTTTTGACCCTAATGCATGAGAAATGACAAGTAAACACCATAATTACATATCTACCATCACGCAAGAGGTTCCGAATAAGTGTCCGAGTGTTTAAGCCCTAATGCATGGGAAATGGCAAGTAAACACCATAACTACGTATCTGCCATCTTGCAAGAGGGTCCGAATAAGTGTCTGAGTGTGTTAAACGCTAATGCATGAGAAATGGAAAATAAACACAATAATTAAATATCTGCCATCATGCAAGTGGGTCCGATTAAGTGTCCGAGTGTTTAAACCCTAATAAATGAGAAATGACAAATAAACATCAGAATTACATATCTGCCATCATGCAAGAGGGTCCGAATAAGTCTCTGAGTGTTTAAACCCTAATGCACGAGAAATGGCAAGTAAATACCATAATTATATGTCTACCATCATGCAAGGGGGTCCGAATAAGTGACCCAGTATTTAAACCCTAATGCATGAGAAATAACAAATAAACACCATACTTACATATCTGTCATCATGCAAGAGGCTCCAAATAAGTGTCCGAGTGTTTAAACCCTAATGCATGAGAAATGACAATTAAACACCATAATTACATATCTGCCATCATGCAAGAGGGTCCGAATAAGTGTGCGAGTGTTTAAACCCAAATGCATGAGAAATGGAAAATAGACACCATAATTACATATCTGCCATCGTGCAAGATGGTCCGAATAAGTGTCCGAGTGTTTAAGCCCTAATGCATGAGAAATAACAAGTAAACACCATAATTACATATATGCCATCATGCAAGAGGGTCCGAATAAGGGTACGAGTGTTTAAGCCCTAATGCATGAGAAATGGCAACTAAACACCATAATTAAATATCTGCCATTATGCAAGAGGGTATGAATAAGTGTCCGAGTATTTATACCCTAATGCAACAGAAATGGCAAATAAACACCATAGTTACATATCTGACATCATGCAAGAGGGTCCGAATAAGTGTCCGAGTGTTTAAACCCTAATGCATGAGAAATGGCAAGTAAACACCATAATTACATATCTGCCATTATGCAAGAGGGTATGAATAAGTGTCCGAGTATTTATACCCTAATGCAACAGAAATGGCAAATAAACACCATAGTTACATATCTGCCATCATGCAAGAGGGTCCGAATAAGGGTACGAGTGTTTAAACCCTAATGCATGAGAAATGGCAACTAAACACCATAATTAAATATCTGCCATTATGCAAGAGGGTATGAATAAGTGTCCGAGTATTTATACCCTAATGCAACAGAAATGGCAAATAAACACCATAGTTACATATCTGCCATCATGCAAGAGCATACGAATAAGTGTCCGAGTGTTTAAGCCCTAATGCATGAGAAATGGCAGGTAAACACAATAATTACATATCTGCGATCATGCAAGAGGGTCTGAATAAGTGTCTGAGTATTATTACCCTAATGCAAGAGAAACGGAAAATAAACACCATAATTACATATCTGCCATCATGCAAGAGCATACGAATAAGTGTCCGAGTGTTTCAGCCCTAATGCATGAGAAATGGCAGGTAAACACTACATATCTGCCATCATGCAAGAGGGTCGGAATAAGTGTCGGAGTGTTTAAACCCAAATGCATGAGAAATGGCAAGTAAACACCATAATTAAATATCTGCCATCGTGCAAGAGGGTCCGAATAAGTGTCCGAGTATTTAGACCCTAATGCATGAGAAATGGCAAATAAACACCATAATTACATATCTGCCGTCATGCAAGAGGGTTCGAATATGTGTCCGAGTGTTTAAACCCTAATGCATGAGAAATGGCAAGTAAACACCATAATTACATATCTGCCATCATGCGATAGGGTCAGAATAAGTTTCGGAGTGGTCGAATCCTATTGCACGAGAAATGGCAAACAAACCCCATAATTACATATCTGCTATCATGCAAGAGGGTCCGAATAACTGTCCGAATGTTTAAACCTAATGTATGAGAAATGGCAAGTAAACACTACAATTACATATCTGCCATCATGCATGAGGGTTCGAACAAGTGTCTGTGTGTTTAAACCCTAATGCATGAGAAAATGGCAGGTAAACACCATAATTACATATCGGTCACCATGCAAGAGGGTCCGAATAAGTGTCCGTGTGTTTAAACACAAATGCATGAGAAATGGCAAGTAAACATCACAATTACATATCTGTCATCGTGTGAGAGTGTCCGAATAAGTGCCCGAGTGTTTAAACCCTAATGCATGAGAAATGGCAAGTAAACACCATAATTACATATCTACTATCATGTAAGAGGGTCCGAATAACTGTCCGAGCGTATAAAGCCTAACGCATGTGAAATGGCAAATAAACACCATAGTTACATATCTGCCATCATGCAACTGGGTCCGAATAACTTTCGGAGTGTTCGAATCCTATTGCCCGAGAAATGGCAAAGAAACACCAAAATTACATATCTGCCATCATGCAAGAGGGTCCGAATGAGTGACCGAGTGTTTAAACCCTAATGTATGAGAAATAGCAAGTAAACACCATAATTACATTTCGGTCATCATGCAAGAGGGTCCGAATAAGCGTCCGAGAGTTTAAACAATAATGCATGAGAAATGGCAAGAAAACACCATAATTACATATCTGCCATCATGCAAGACGGTCCAAAAAAGTGTCCAAGTGTTCGAATCCTAATACACAAGAAATAGCAAACAAACACCATAATTACAGATCTGCCATCA